ATGATTTATTACGACTTTCGTTGTGGACTTAACGAAAAACACTATAATATGCTGAGATTAGCATTTTTTAATGAAGCCCCATCTCGTGCCACTATTTACATTTGGTTTAACGAGTTTCAGCGTAGTCGTAGCAAGATCATTGGTAATCTGAGTGAGGGACGTCCTTTAACAGCGACTAATGAAGATAACATCAGTGCTGTGCGACGCATGATAAAAGATGATAAGAGAGTGATTGTTATGAGTCAAGTTTAAAAAATATTGATTCAAGTTAAATAAGTTCCACGGCGGTGCCTCAAATTCTGTAAACAATATCATACCAGGCAATAAAAGCTGGATACTGACTGGGTTACTACAAACCGAAAACCAAAAGACCAAAAGACAATCAGCTCAGGGGGTATTTCCTTTCGAGGAATAAATCCGCTAGGCTATAGAAATATAAAAAACGTAAGAATTTCAATATATGAGATGACAGGCAATTGCCTGGGATCCGCTCATCAAAATTGTCAATTTCCTATATTTGAAGTATAAAGAAAACCTTTATTACCTCTTATAACAAATATAGTAGAAGTGACAAGAATTAAATAAGCCGGTAATAACACTAACTTTAGTATATCGGGCGTGTTTTGATTAATAATAATGTAATTGTAAAGACAAGTTACAAAACTATTAAATATCCACTTGTGGAACTTAGCCACATTTAATTTTATTTACACATTAAATATAGAGCAAGCAAAAAAAGTATTAACGAGAATATTTTTTGTATTTTATCCCACCAGAGCGATAAAAGCAAATAATATGAAGAAATACTTCAAATATTCTTATCATAATAAACATTAGTAGGAATATACATAGTTTTCTTTGTACTTTCAAAAAACAAATTTGTAATTTAATATAGGATAACCTTATATTATAATTTAATTTACAAATAGGGATGTGAAATCTATTTTGGATCTTGATACGACCTAATATGAAATTGATAACATCCTGTATAATAGTTATTGAACCTCGCTTCAATATTTTGGTCACGTACCCTTTAGAAAGTAATTTCATCCATAAATAACAAGGACGATCTAATATTGAAATCTATTATGTGCTTTATTTTGCTGCAAGATATTATAAATAATTAAAACAATCAACAAAAGCAATAAAAATATTGACTTTTTTATAGTAACTCATTTGTAAAAAGTAATTCAATTCAAAGTCAATATAATATTTTTGAGTTACGTTTTTTATATATTTCTAATCCAATTTATCATTAAATTCAGAGGATTTATATTATAAAACATAATTAATGATACTATAATTTTAATCATGAAATGTTTTTTTTAATTAATTAGATGTTCGCTCTAACTTAAATGAAAGAGTCATATCATCATGATTTGTTATCCTTACTGAAAGAGAATATTTTAAACATTAAATAAGATATAGCCAGTGGCTAAACTGATAAAAATATGTTATTTTATTGGCCGAAAATCGCAAATTCTCATTCATTCGGTGAACTAAAATTATCTGTAAAATATAAAGATTTTTTAGTATTATAAGAATACCGATAGACGTAACATATCATCGTATGGCACTTAAAGATTCAGCCACAATTACCCTTATAAATAAACAATTTACCAATTAATTAGAATAATTTCATTATTTTTAATAACTCTCATAGACAAAATATTTTATATTTTGAAAATTTAAGTTGATTATAACATAATTAAATTTATAATACCGTTTTTTTTTTATATCAGGCCTTGAACGCCATGATTAACTGAGAACCAGCAAACCTAACACAAACTACAAATGCTTTTGATGCGTTACTTCTCAAGCCTCTTCACAGTTTTTTGTAGTTTAGTGTTTAATTTAATGTTCTACTATTACTACAAATATCCTCCAAGATTTGAAATTTACTACTACTGTTTTATATATCAATCTAACAGAAAAAGAGATTTCTAGCCATGATGAATATTAAAGAAATTTAAATTACACAGCATTTTAATGAACATAGGACGGAAATATTTTATTTTCGTTACCGATGCCTTGGAAAATATCGATACTTTGGAAAAGGAAACAAGTCTGGTAACAATTGTGAATATTAAAATAAGCCTCTAGTAAAACATTGATGTTGTGTGACTAAGAAAATAGTTGGAAGAAGATGATTTTTATTTATCACACTTGTTTAAATAAAGACTTTTTGTATTTGAGAATTTTGTGACCACCAGAAGTGTTCATACGTAACTTTAAAACTGATGAATAGTGTGTTTGATTGAGGCCCGTTGGGGGCCACAGTTTATTTAAGGGTTAACAATGTAAGATCCCGGGACTCCGTCCGCTTGAGACTCAGCTAGAAATATATAATGTGTGTTGAAACAATATATATCTATGTATATATAACATCTACGGTGCAGCCTTTTCATTTTAAATAATCTAGATGCCATATGCGCGCAGTCTTCCGGCATTAGTTGTGAATCTAAAATGTCTGGGTCATCACTCAAATTATTCAGATCCAATTTTTAGATCAAGTTAATTATTCTAGAGTGATCTTTGTATCAATGATATGCCATGTAGTATCTCATATTGCTTTAATATTGGATGTTAATAACATAAAGTTTTATCTCCATAAAAAGGGTTAATATTAATCAATTATGATAAAATTATTGCCTATTGCTTTCTTATCTTATCATTTCTTTTAAGCCTATCGGTTTACAATAAAGTAACAAATTAATCCGAATCCTTTGAGAAAATTATAAATGAACTAATTCAACAATTAAATTGTGTTTTTTTAATATAATTATTTGAGTAAATAAGATAATGTCTAGGTAACAAACAGGAAGGCATTACGTTATAAATGTGATATTTTTCTTTATATAAATCTTTTTATTTGTCAAAGTATCATACTTCTACCTCCTTTTTGGAAATACAAATTTCAGTATTGTTTCACTTTGAAAATGTCAATTCTGTTATGTCAGTGTAGAAGATGACTATAACGGAATGTTTATAATTCAGAAGAGAGCATTAGTCTTCATACAATTTGGATTTATTTAAAAATTTTACAAGAAATGTGTATACTACATGGGCATACGAAATGCAAGTGTTATTTTTATTCATCTTATCGTCTAGTTGGGATGTTTTGAATGCGTTTTGTAAGTATATAAGCATGGTTCTTTATTTCATTAAAACAACATAGGTGACCGTTGGGTTCGCTTAAAGGTAATTATATAACGTTTTTCTTTAAAAGGCAAAATCCTATGCATCATTTAGGTCCATTTTATTTTGGACAGGTCAAAAAAGGGGAAAATTAAAAATACCTCTATGGTGTTTTTGTTCTTCAAGAATAATTTTTATAAAATATCTATTGTTATTTATTTTTTATTTAGTTACAAATAGAATAGCTTAAACTTAAATGTTATGCATATTTCAATAGATGCTTTCAAACGTGCTGTTCTTTTACCTACGGAACGATTGTGTGTTTTTAGTCTGTGAATGGTTAAGATCCATTGTAAATTTTTGTATGACGCATTAAGTATGTATTTATCATATTATATTTGGATCATGCACTTATCTAAAGATAAAATTGTATCCAAATATGACTTCGTTACTATTTTGGATTCAGTCAGCCCCTCAGAAATAATACTATTGAAGTTTTAATGTAAATTTATATAGTTTTGTTTATATAATCTCAGTTTGAATACTTTATTTCCTCATATACATATAAAAATTATGGATAAATGTTTAAAGTTCTCATTAATTTTAATTTAAACTGTCACTTATTTAACGAAATCCTTTACTGAGTACGCAAAAATAACTCAATTATTTTAGGTAATTAAAAATGTACAATTTCTTGTTCCAAGCAGTCTAAAAAACTTTAGTTGTCAAATTCGAATTCAACATTACTATATGTACTTAGGATTGCAAATAGTAACAAAATAGATTTTCCTTTGATTTATTCTATCAACGGTTGTAAATTTAATGTCTACAAAAGATATAATAAATACTAGGATCATAAAACACCTCAACAATTACTGTTTACTAAACAACATGCAGCAGTTCGACATCGCACTTGTAACAAAAATGAAATGAAATAACGCTTAACTAAGAGACATTCACTAAGACTATATTAAGTACCAATTTAACGTATTGTATTACTTTTAATTATTTATAACTAGTAAACCCGGCGAACTCCGTTTCGCCACCAGAAGGCTTTTATATAACATTTCGTTTGGTGATTAAAAGATGAAGAATTTTTTGTTTTATATTTGAAAAGGAAAATTTTTATTTCATTCCACAACAGTAATGAATTCATTTCGATTACAAAAATTAAGTGTTATTTAGTTGAACTTCTCTAAGTAAATGAAAGTGAATCCAAAGTAGATACCGAATCGAAGCGTTATACGTGTCCGCAAATTATCCGTTTCATTGAAGTGCTCCTTTGTAAACCAAATTTTTTGTTTTTTGGTCTAACTTTAACACAAATAAAGCGTATGGTTTCCAAACTCGTGAACATACAAAATATAACTGCCCATGTGAAAAACAATGATTTTCTAAATTTATCCCGCAAATACTAAATAACATATCTGTCATTATACGTCAATTGCATAGCTGTCAATTGTGTTTCGTAATTCCACGTTTTATAGTGACTGACGTTTCATGTCAAGTCCCACGGGAATGCTGTCGAACGGGATAAAAAGTATCCTATTGCAATTTCCTGGCTCTAAACTACCTCCCTGCCAATTTTCAGCTGAATCGGTTCAGCCGTTCTTGGGCTATAAGTGAAGTCACTAACACAACTTTCTTTTATATATATAGATTTAGAATTCTTTTTTAAATACGTTAAATTAGTTGACATTTTTTATATCTGTGGGTAGTTTATTATACAGTTTTGCACTTTCAAAGGTGTACTGTTTTACCGTGATTTGTACTAAATTAAAGTAAAAGTAGTAAGTTAACTAAAATATTAGCCTTTGTGGTATTTCAACTTGTTTTTGAGTACTAAATCTTTTATTTTTCAGATATGAATTATGAAGATGAAGCTTCTAAACATAGAATGCGGAAATTTAATCAAGACCTTAAACCTATAACGTTATCAAAGAAGAATCATAAATATCATATAGAGTCATCAAAAAATTTCAACTGCGATGAATTTTCAAGCTATGCAATCAATTGCACAATTGATGCTGCTTTCATTTACAACTCCACTCGAATGTCACCGCCTTCGCCAACGAAAATTAATGACTGGTGCCGGTACGTAAAAATAGCTTTTAAATTGGATTGATATCGCACTTTGTGATTTTATTCATTGATTTCTGAACAAACGTAATGTATCATAACCTCATCGAATTATATTGTTTCAATTGGAATTAAAAGTATTAAGTTCATAAACTTTTTCCTTACTTCAGTGCTATCAAACATTTGACAAATTGTGCTATTGACTGGAACACAGATTGTAAGGATGTAACAGATAGTCATTTTAACGAAGAGAGCATTAAAGGGCACATTCATGTCGTAAATAATATTTGCGATGATGAATGGTTTCTTATACGTAAGTTGCACATGTTACTATCTGATTTTCCACTTATATTAGTAAGATCTGCAGTTGTTGTATGTTTTATTGAAATATATGAAATTTCACTATATTTAATAACCGTGAGTTATAGTTCATCCATTATAATAACAATTAATTACAATATTCACAAAGTATGTTAGATTATAAACTAATACTTTCATGGATGATCATTCCAGTTTAGCCATTTTAAAAAATATAAATGTTTCAGAAATAAAACGATATTTTTGACTTTATTTATTTAACAATTTGTCTGCTTTTAATTTCGATCACATTATTTATTGTTCATAATACGGGATAATAAATATTAAGTTCAAATTGGAGTTGCCAAGGTGAATGTTCTGTTTTAATGTAAAATGCAAGAGTTGAAATTGCTAAGTAGTTGTGAATGTCATGTTAATGGCCACAAAGATCTTCGTTTCTGTACGTGATAAAGCTACAAATAATCTGTCAGCTGTAAATTTTACATCCTAGTAGATGTTATAACTGAATTTGGACGTAAAGAAACTTTAATCTTGGAATGTTGTCAAGCATATAAAGTTATATAGGATAAACCTACCAATATAGTTTATTTCCTAACTTTATGTGAAATATTATCTACCTATATGTGCAATTATTTTTGTTGTTAAGGTTACGAAGAACTGGAAGTTTGTATAGAAGCCGCTTCACAGCCTTGGGAGTTCTGCTACTTAACCTTTAAGAATTCTGTGGAGGAACAAAAAAATATTACCCAGGAATGGACGCATTATGAAATACACTTTAGACTTTGTTGGTTAGTTGAACAGAGTATTATCACTTAATGAAAATGCTTAGCGTTTATTTAGAGTAACACCGCCAATTTATATATTTATTTTTTAGCCATAAATTTATGATTCACAAGATAAATATTATTAATTACGATAATAATTATTAAATTCTGTATTACTCTTACTCATCTTAATTCACACATTAAGATGACGATGGTATTCTTTAATTCTCATCTTATTTGTTATATTGCCCCTAATAAATGTTAAAAACAATGATGTTATTAAATATCTCACACAGCGGGGTCTCAAGGCACAGATTTAAATCAAAATTCCTGTTATCTTTATAAGTCTGAAACACAAAAAAAAATCATTCATGAATATTGCTTGAGAATTTTGTATTCACACTTGGAGCATTTGAAAATCTCCCAAACTCCAAACTTTTCTGTTGACAAAAAACCAAAAAAACGTTAGTTGATTTGAATACAACATGAGAGTTCCGAATGGACAATAGTGAAGGCAGATTTCTAAAATAGTCGAATTCAGATTGGATTTGGAATTAGATTTTTCCAATATTTCATTCATATACTTCTTCACAAAGGTGATATATAATACAGACTATTCAAAATTATTAATCAACTAGCTGACCCGGCGAACTTTGTACCGCCCTATAATCAAGAAATATCTGTTACCTTTTTATCTGAATAGAGTTAATTTATAATATTAAGTATAACTGACCCGACAGACAATGTTCTGTCTTCTTAACTGTGATTATTGAATTCTAATTGGTATATTAATAAATCGAAATTATTCCAAAAACAAAATGTTTACTCTAATGCTTCATCATACACAATATTCAAATTTTTAACTCCGGCCACAGACCAACTCCGACCGATTTATTTCCAAAGAGCATGTAAAGTTTTAATTTTTCTTCGTTTTAATGGCAACTACGTGAATATTACTGCGAGTGACACATTATTTCTTACATTAGAACCTTCTACTAATAATAACAAATACAACAAAAAAAGATTTATTGAAATCGGTCTAGCCATTCACGCGTGATGCCGTGACCAAAGAAAAAAGAGATTCATTTTTATGGATATACATATAGATATTACTTATTATCGTCCTTGTACCAGCAATAAATAATAATAGTATACCATACCTATAGCACATTTTGATAAGGTTTTCATAGATAAATTGTAATAAGCCTCATGTTACAGCGCAAGAGCTCGATTTCGAAGATGCACCCTTGAAACATTATTTACGCTGCCACCAGAATGTTCTCACAGCCATGCGGTTACTTTACAAAAGTTCTCTGTCGTTGTGTCCGAAGGAAGCGTTTATCAGGTAATTTGTTTTATCAGAAAGGTTTAAGATAATACATTCATACACATTTTTTCAAAACTCTTTCAAAACCCATGTCAGTCATTATCTTCTATATTTGGATTTATGTTCAATCACAATTTTTTGTTCTCTTGTGTGGTCCCCAATGACATTACAATCATATTGTGACAGGGTATGAAGATTGATTAAAAAATCGAAATATTTTTTACATTTCATTAACTTCTCACGTCAGTAAGACTATAATATTAATTTATCACCTTAAATATTCTTAAAATATTGTATATTAACGCTATTCCAATCACATCTTAGTGGATTAAATTCAATATTAATTCAAAGTACTGTAATTATAAAAAGTTTTAAACGATATGGGATATGTTTTTCTTATATTTATGTAGACTTAATAATTTTCAGGACTGCGATCATAACATGATGTATGAGAACTGTCCCGGTGGCGATCCACGGCCAAGCAGTGCGATGCTTAGGCGTCTGATGAGTGCCGAAATACTGAGTTCAGCATCCGTTCGACAATATGGGTCGAGTATAACTGCCTTATGTTGCTTTATTTTGTTTGTGGTGACAATACAATCTGTTTAGTTTCTACGGTTTTTATTATTAATATGATTACCTTATCAGTGCGGTTACATAAAAACAGTGTGGTCTTATAAAATTAAATATTAATTCGTATTATTTTTGTTAATTCTTGGATAAAAACATTTATTTCTAAGTACATACTTCATCGTCTTCTGAGTAAAACAAGAAGGAAAATTGTTTTCCTTTTAATTATTAAAACAGAGTAAACAAGAGTTGCTTTTAAGTAATAACGATTTACAAAACTTTTTTAAATTGTGTACTTTTTTTTGGTGGTATGAATCACCATTTTCTTTTATCTATACATACATACTCGTATGTATACATATAAATAAAAGTTTGGAGTGTCTGTTTGAAGTATTTAAATAATAGTTTTTTTCGATATGAATTCATACACTTACACGGTACAAACATCAATCTATTTTTGTATAATTTTTCTGATTGTAACTGCTTACAGAAGTTAAAATGAATTTTACTATAGACTTTTTGACGATAAAATACATATCTAGAAACATCAAGTAATTGGTATTTTAATAGATATCATAATAAAACTCCTCATGTAATTTATATAGGGAAATCCACTAAATAAATGAATTTTTAATGCCCATTATTATTTTTATCCAAAGATGGCATTAAATGAAGACTAATTATAAAGTTTAAAAAATTATAAGAGGTGAAAAAACATAATTTCATTTTTGTGAAAGATATTATAAAGATATAATCATAATTAACTTTTGTAACAAAGAAACTTCTATGAAATAATTTATTGAAAAGTGACACTGTTTAAGGAATTAGAAGGTCAAATAGATCTTTTTTTACGAGAGCATCTTCTAACAATCTTCCATATAAAAACAAATGTAGGACTTATTTTTAACTTTGTAATTTGTTATGAGAAAAATATGACTTGATAAAATATTTGCAAAATAAAAGAATCGTTACTATTTTTGCCATGAGCTCGGAAGATATACAAACACTTTTTCCAGTTCAATGAAAGAACGAAGACGTGATAATTTGTTAAAAACTTTATATTTACGTTTTATTTTCTATTTTAGTTGGAATAGTGATGAGCTGGTAACATTTTGTTCGTGCCGTATTTCATTTCAAGTCACGCCTGACTATTCAGACTTATTGAGCTACGTGGCTCGAATTTATCTGGTCATTAAATACTTTTTGGCTTTGGATATTCACTTTCTTTTTATAACCTAAAATGGTGTTCATTTTCAGGATTTATTTGACTGACTTCAATTTGGCTTTAAAATCTTACTGTACATTTCAACCGTTTTGTTATAAACGGTAAATTTAGTGAAAATATACTTATTTCTATTTAATATAACTACTGATTACTTAAATTATTTTAAGTAATAGACCAAAAATGATTTACATAATTTTTAAAATAACTGATACTCTTACAAACTGGATCATTATTAGCCAAACACGGCTTAGAACCAACTCTCTTTCAACAACCAAAACAACCGTTTCCAAATCTTTTTAAACCAGCTTTCAATTAATAAAACCGCTTCAAAAATAACTCTGTCTCAAAAATCTGCATCTTAACACTATTGTTTAATATTGTTTTCATCATGTATCATATCTAATATAAAATTATTTGGATTCTACTATTCAGAGACTACGATATTTGTTTAAACAAAACATAATAATAATTTTAAGAATAAAGTACATTAAATAAATATCAATAACAAGATTTTTAAGCTACAAAATATATACTTACAGTAGCATTCATGAAACTTTTCAGCATTCCATACATTCCAAGTGCGGGTGCCAGGTCCATCGCGTTACGGGGAGAGGAGCTTCAACAGTGCATGGGACTTGCGACCTAGGCGTAGGTTTAAGCGACTCCTATCCTACTAGGGCTACTTTCGAAGTACGTTCAAATAATGTATTGACATTAGTTCTGGATAGGCCTAAGTCTTTTAGTAGGTTGTGGAGAGATTTAGCCGTTAACCTGTCGCTCCCATTTCTAAGGCGTCCAAATCCATAATGTTAATGTTGTTGCCGTTTGTTTGCCATAATATCTATTGTTTTTACATGTTTTATATTTTTCGTTCTAAGCCTTTTTTCGAAGTTCACGAAGACGAAATTGTGGGCTAAAAGTACACTCATAAAAAGGTACTATGGTTCACACACATTTCCTTTACAGTTTGAAGACAAGTAAAAAGAGTACAATGTTAAAGTGCAGATACTTCCTATAATTCATTTCTAAAAACCGAAATGTAAATTATGTAACACATCAAAGGTCAACTTATATTACCTGTAAAGGTTAAACATAAAACACGAGCTGTTGTTCGCTGAGGGACCGTCTGTCCTCTGTAATGAATTAACTTCATAACTAAGAACCTGTTCACATATAGAAGCTGAGCGGTCAAAGGGTTGAGTAGATAACCAGTTTAACAAAGAAAATACTCTAAGTAATGCAACAACACTTGATCGCTTTATTTCTATAGAATGTTCACAACTACATTTTAATAATATACATTGCAAAAATATGAAAATTACTTTAAATTTAGAAGACGAGGTATTTATATTATAGGTGATTCACAAGGTTTACGTTTTGGACACAACTCAAAACTTTAATTAAGCGTCCGTTTATGCTCTCAGTGTTGTGTAAACCGACCGTAAGGGTTAATGTAGCCAACAGTAAAATTGAGGCTAAAAATTTGAACAATGTTTTTATGGTGCAAATTAATTAATTAGTTCTAGTACTATTACTATGTAAATATTTAATTAAATACGAAACTACTAAATATTCAACACGCGAAGTAGTGTTTAAATATGTACATGGTATTTTAGCTTATTAAATAATTAGTTTAGTATTTGAATAATTAATTGCTTCTATAATACTGCTTTCTACATAAATAGAATTCATAACAATTTTCTGATCTTTTTAGAAAATTCAATGTCGAACAACAATTGATCTTGAAATATATAATCCGTTATTGCCTTTGAGTAACTAAGTATGACAATAACGCCATATAGCCCATGATAGTTGTTATTACTTAATAAATAAACAATAATATTATATACGTTTTTAGTAAATCATATTATTTTATTTCAATATCAATAAAAATCCAATTGACATCTGAATAACAGGAATTTCTAAATGAGGTAAATGTTAGTATCTGACTCATGTGCTGTAGTTTATAAGCGATTTGTTTGATTTTCGAATATTGTTAATAATCTTTACTAATATTGTAACATCGATAGTTTGTTGTTATGGATGCATGGATATTTGATATTCTATCATACAAAAACTACTCAACAAGTTTTATAAAAACTTAGTTATATAACAGAATAACATCTAGGCTACATTTAAATATCCCTTGTTCTCATGGATATAGAATAAAACCAACATATATTTTATGACCTCATGCGATGGACGATAGATGACATTGTTAAATATACTTCTACATATATTTTTCTTAAGCAAAAAGTATTTGAATTCGCTTTAAACTAAATTCCCTGGTCACTGTGGTATAATATGAATTATAACTTCCACTTAACAAAAAAAATTAAAGTAGTATATCAATATAAATAAAATAATACGCTTGAAACTTATATATCACAACGCTGCCAAAAGCAATAACTCTAAGTCAGTGACAACTTCTGTAGATATTCCACTGATTTCAAATCTCAGCTGTCTTCTGCTGTCCTTTTTTGACTATTAAATTCCTATCTTTTATAGGATTTATTTAAATTAAATGTTTTGAAATACAGTATAAGATTTGTAACATTAATCTTTTTTAATAATCAAGATAAAGTTATACTGTTTTTATAATTGTATATGCAAAGAAAACATTAAATTGGTGAATAGTTGTGCTAGGTGAATTCTTGAGTGAGTGGCAAGTCACAAAAAAGTTATTAACTTATAAGTCTCATATTGGCTTCCGCTAAACTGTGAAGTAATTAAAATATTATTTTAAGGTATATATTACACGTGTTGGCGTCCGTGTATAAAGAAGTTACTAGATCATTGCTTTATTGAAGAATGGCGATGCAAAGGATTGATTAACTCTTTTCTATTCGACCCGTATCACTAAGGCAAAGCAGGTCCACTAAAGCCAATTAGTCTTATTTCTTTAATCAGAGAAGCGTATCAGATTAATTCTGTAATACCATTTTACACTCTTTCGATTGCTGGAAAATAAATAAAAATATCTTTTTTGGAATGTAATGATTATGTATATTATTTATTATTTAAAATAATCACGAGTTTCGTTAATAATAAACGATGTTAAGAGGTCAGCTATGGTAACATCTCGCTTTTTGAAAACAAATGTATAAGATGTGCGTTTCCATATATACATACTATATGAATACATGTATATATACACATATGTGTGCATCATGATTCAATGTTAATTTTGATTTTCCATATGTAACATCAAATTCTGATCCAATTATTGCTTTGAACAAGTATTTAATTAACAACTGCGTGTAGAAGACAGGTCCAATCTTGAATACTGACACCAGCTTTCCTTATTACAATCATCAACTGTGAAGTTATGTCCCTTTAAGTAAATAATTTACTATGATACAGAATGCAATAATAATTTTTTCTATATCTATATAGATAATTGTAGTTACTAAATATTTATTTTTTTACTCCTAAATATAATGATAATAAGTAGGAAAAAATAACATTAAAAGAAAAAACTACATAAATATTTTAGGGGAAAAAATTCAACATAATATGTATTTTCCGATGCTATTACACCAATTAGTGTGGAGTTTGCAATTAAAGTAATTTTGGCAATCTTATAGATATAGTGGATTTAATAATTTGATCAACTAAATTGTTCCTCTCCATGGATTTAATTATTAAATTTTGTAGGATTTCGTGAGATTATCACTATCACGCTAAAGGTACCAACGTTAGTCATATCTAGTCTTTTTAAATTTTAGAATACTGAAAATTTTAAGTTATACTTGAAATTTCAAAAAGAATGAATTGCGGGTTTAGATTTATAAATATTTCCATTACAACGTTCACAATCGTTACATATCTTTCTATGATGTTAAAAGATATGTACATATTTTTCTATACTAAGGTAAACAAATATATTTGAAAGGGAGATAAACTGGCTACATACATTGACAGCAGATGGAGAATAACGTTGTTTTTATGGATAGAACTGCTAGGAAAGAGAGCGAAAGGTTGCGTTCACGCTTGTAAATTGTAACAGTGGTCAGTAAAGATTAAGTGAACACTTCC